CTACTCCCCCTCCTTCAGCCTCTGCTCTAGACAATTACTCAACTTTCAATTGTTGTATAATCACCCCCAAAGCACATGTATTTAAATGAAAAGAGATGAGATCAGAAGAACAAGGCCAAGTTCTCATCCACAACAGTCTGGAAAGCCCATGGAAAGAACATCAGAGCACCCCTAAATATAAAGAGATGAGTTCTTATTTAAAATATGTGAGAATCATATCAGTTTAAACACGTTGATTACCTTTGCTGTGCCCTTACCTACAAAAGAGGGGGTTCTAATATGTCTCTGGCCTACTCTATGAGATGCAAATGAGATGACGTGAAATTTCCTTGTAAACTACAAAGAGGGCACAAACGTGACGCTGATATCTTAGGCTGCATTCTGTAGAGATACACAACCAGTGAGGCTTATATATGTGTGAATATAGAGGGAATTTATATCAAGAAAATGGCTCACCTCATTGCAGAAGTAGGCAAATCCTGGCAGGTTCCATGTCCGTGGGTCAGATGTTAAGCTAGAGGCTTCTGCTGACTCTCATAGTTGTGAGGGCTGATGAACCCAAGATCAGCAGGAAGACCACAGACTGCTAACTATAATGGTAGATGGTTCTAAAGTCAGCAGGTTAGGCTTGTGACTAGAGAGGTGAATTAATCCAAGGTCAACAGGTCAAATAGCAGGCCTGCTGATGGCTCCCAGGATTGGCAGGCAATATGCAGGCTGTTGGTCCAAGTAGTCCAAATAACCAGAGCTCAGTGAGCCAGATATAGGATTCAGACCCAATAAATAGAAACAAAAACTTTCCTATAGGGTCTTTATATTAGAAACCTCCTTTTAATTGTATCATGGTTGTGACCTGAGTTAAGAATGCTTCATTCCATTCTGATCTTAACCAATTGTGGAGGGTTAACCCCTTATGGATTGGCTTTGAGTATATTACATAGGTCAGGTAATGAAGGATGACTAGGTATTAATTTCCAAACCACTGAGAATCCTACAGGACAGAACAGAGCTGCCCTGTACAGTGTC